GTGACTTCTGGATCTGTTCTATTTGGACAGTGGAATTTCAGTGTGACTTCTGTTGTATCTGTTCTATTTGGACAGTGGAATTTCAGTGTGACTTCTGCTGTATCTGTTCTATTTGGACAATGTAATTTCAGTGTGACTTCTGTTGTATCTGTTCTATTTGGACAGTGGAATTTCAGTGTGACTTCTGGATCTGTTCTATTTGGACAGTGGAATTTCAGTGTGACTTCTGTTGTATCTGTTCTATTTGGACAGTGGAATTTGAATGTGCTTCTGCTGTGTATTGTACGTATTTAAACAGTGGAATGTCAGTGTGACTTCTGCTGTATCTGTTCTATTTGGACAGTGGAATTTCAGTGTGACTTCTGCTGTATCTGTTCTATTTGGACAGTGGAATTTCAGTATGACTTCTGCTGTATCTGTTCTATTTGGACAGTGGAATGTTAATGTGACTTCAGCTGTATTTTATATACAATAGAATTATTTTGGGTTTGTTGGGCACGTCGATTGTTTATTGACGTGACACTACAGCGTGCCAGGGCAAACAGCCTCGCGTGAAATGTTTGGCACACGTGCTATATGAGATTCTTCTGACTAAACATTTAAGAAGTATCCAGACCTTCTTAAGATCATGCTGTACAGAAACTTTAAAATTCAGGTGTCTTAATCTACTTTAAATAACAAACTTGTAAAATGTTAATGAGTTCAAAAAAGTTTGGCTAAATAAATATTATTACAATAAAAATAATTGAAATACATCTCGATTTGCAACATAATGAAAATCACGAAAGCGTCAAAATCATGGGCGTCCGCGCGTGTGTGTGTGTGTGGGGGGGGGGCACTTGCTCCCCTGGAAAATGAGAAACATAATTATTTTTTATTCAATTCACGAGTTCACACTACTTTGCCCCTCCGATTTTCTTTGGACGCCCATGGTCAAAATTGTCCTTTTTCATTGTATGGTTTAAAATATAAATTGATGGAGATATTGTTTCCACGATAGATTGTATGAAACTTATAATTTACAAAAAATATAGTACTTTGAATTTCATCGAATATGGTAGCAGTAGTAGCGATATATAACTTCTGTCAATTGATAACTTTCACTAAAACGCACACAGCGCCGTCTACGGGATGAGGAGTTATTACGCCTTTCGTTAGATAAAGCTGAGCTCGTACTTTTGTTAATTAAGGACCAGTGATTAACTGCTTTCAGTTTTTTTCACACATCATATTTTGAAAAATTGTAATTCCGCGTTCGTCTTTCCGAAGATACTGTTCAGTATAGGATTTGGTATACTGGATAAAATCTGAACAAGGTTGATTTCTTTTTACAACTTTCGAACAATGGCGGCAGCTAGTTAACACCAATCGCCGTCAGTTCTTGATAGTTTTCAGTTTCTCAAAGTTAATTTTTTCTCGTGACATATACGTTACGTGGCACGTGCACCTGTTGGTGTCTAACGCACAGTTTTTTGTTGTTAAGCACAAAGCTACATAATGGATATCTATACTCTTCCCACCACGAGTATATAAAAACCGATTTTTGGCGTTATAAGCTCGACGATTTATCGCCGAGCCGGTAGAGGCTCTTTAAACAGAAAACCTAATCTAACAAATGGGAAGATTTCATGTACAAAAGTTGTATTAGGTATTGTCAAGTGTATAACCGATAAGTTATTGAAGTAAAAAAATACAACCTTTATTAACTTGTAAATGTTTCGAACTTCTGTTTTCCGGAGAGTAAAAACGGTAACCCTAACTTAGCTCACGGTCTATAATAAAATAGTCCCATGTTAATATAAATCATTTATTTAGTACGTACCTACTCGGATAGTACATTTTGAATTTGGCACATTAACTATGTGTTGCTTTTAAAAATGGAGCTTATTTTAGCACCCATTAGAAGAATGGCTAAGTTTTACAAACTTAAGTTTTGATTCAATTTAGACTAGTTTTAGTTTACTACTACGTGGATCTCCATACTTGTATATAAATTATTTTCATTACATTTAGTTAGAAATACATTTTACTTATCGAAAGGTACATATATAAGATAAGGGCCTTAACAAAAAAAACAAAACAAATATACCAAAAAATTCCGATGTTTTTACATCTTTTCAACGCCACAAGTAAGCGTAACAAAGTCCATCCAAAACTCAAGTCCAGCGCGATTAGGTTTATCCAAATCATAGCAGAAGTGTTTCTTGCTTACTTAAGAACAACAATGAATTTACCAAGACGATGAGAAACTAATAAACACGAGAAGGTTTAGTTTTACCCCACGTTTACAACTACTCCTAATTTGGGTCACTGGTCAAAGTTGATGTAATTCGAGGTTATATTTTAGGCATCATAACACAAAACGAAATGACTTCCAATGAGCATTTCAAGTATGCTAATCTACATCGAGGTAGGGTAGGTACTGAGAATATGTAAAATATTTTGTTAATTAAAATTTGAGCTTTTTTTTATCACCTACCCACAACAGTAGCCTTATGTTTGTTTGTTTGTCGAGCACAAAGTTATATAACAGGCTAGCTGTGCTCTGTCCACCAGAGGTATCAAACCCCCTAAGACTTACCACCGAGCCTCGTGTTTGTTACACGCGATTCCCAAAGACTTTTATTCTAGTTAACTCCTTCTGGAAGAGCAGATGTTTTATGTAGAGGGCACTGGTGAGAGCATGTTGTTTGGGTATTCTCATCTTAAGTATACACAGTATAGAAAGGCAATTTAATCGATATTCAAACACAATTTATCGCCCAGATCTAATACACAGTGTCAAATGGTGCACTTTTTAAATAAATCATAATACTGATGTTAACTTTAAACTTTGGACATAAAAAAAATTTTCCTTATCGGTACCATTCATACAGATCATTTTCTCCAAGGTGTAAAATCAACACAAGTTTAGAAATATTTTTCTCGTTTACACGAGTTTTCACTTGCTATGTTACAGACGTCTTTTTTTTTTAAAGGTACTTAGAACCAGTTATTGTAGAAGTTAGGTTACATACGATTCTTTATACAATATGACACATTAAAAGTGAGATAATCTTTGATACAATGATCGAAAGACCTCACAAACATGTACATAAATTCTATTTTTAAAATGTCTCAAGAGCTTCTGATTACAAAACAAAAAGCCACACACACACACAAAAACAAAATCTTTAAAGCATTTAACTTTTATTATACTACAGCAGGCCTATAGCCTTGGTATGACAGAGTTTCTTACCTATAAATCATGCGACCTAAAGAAGGTCGCTTAAGTCAACAAGTAAGCATTAGGCACTAACATGAGTTATTGACATTTTTGTGTTTTCATTATATTACTTGAGTATATCTTCAACTCTGAGGTATTCCCAGAACTGAGGAACATTAATGCTATTAGTAACCATGAAAATACAAAATCGTAGTTGAATGGTGAGACTTGTTTTGATTCTACATTATCTTGAGTAACTGACCTTTACTAGCCAATCACACCCCCTGTGGTCACAAGCATGATACAAGGAGACTTGCTCTTATTTACATGCTGAACATAACATGCTTTGTCTAGTTTAAGGAGAGATTTTTTGTAATGCTTAGTCTTGAAATTCTTTAATCTGGTTCTGCTTTAAACGATTTCCAACACTCTGCAGTTATTTTAAATTGAATATATATATTTACAAAATTTGGCCAAAGTGACTTCACATACAGAGGAATGATTATCAATTCTTTGCCAGGATTTAACTCCTCAAGGTTTACAAGAAATCATGTAATTATATTACAGAAACATCTTTACAGAACAAAATATGGGCTCTCCGATCAGGATACCAGTTGTTCTTTTTAACTTCAACAAAGAACAGTTGTCAAATACAAACTTTCTTTAAAAAGGAAAAACAAACGTAATCAAACTAGATAAATTTATATATTTCTGTATGCATTTTTCTCTCTTCTAAAATACAATGTTTTCACTTGATTTACTAAACTCTCACATATTTCTATTCATTCGTGCTTTCGCCCACTTCTAGATTTTTTTGGCCATGATAAATAAACAAACAGGTATAGACCAATAAACATGATTGTGACCACCGCTCCTCCAGTAACAATCCAATCCCAGGTTGTTATTTGTTCTTCTTCAGCCAGCATGCTACTGACGTGCTCCCAGCTGCCGTTGTTTGGTCGAGGAGGGACACCGGCAAGGTAGCACAAGAGGTTGTAGTGGTCCACCATGGAAATACCAGGAGATGTGTAGTCTCTCCTCAGTACTGAAATCATATCAATTACATCTGTTATGAATACATTTAGCCATCTGTTTGGGTGATTGAATTAAAAACACAACAATAAGATTTGATCTAAACTATTACAAATCCACAACAGTTCTATATATACACAAACTTACATGGTCCCTTAGCATAAAAGATTGTCCACATATCCTTCCCCATGCTTGGATCATAACCATGGTTACCAGCAGTACTTGACAGATCCCCTTTTTGTTTGGTAGAATCACTGATCTGTACGAGAATGTGGCTTATCATTCAAAGAGTTCTGTGTAAGAAACACAACAAAATCTGACAGACTCAACTTTATTATTTGGTAGACAAAGGTCATCATGCACGTGCCACATTAAGTCAGTTGTTTTATCACAACTTATATGTCTTCTAAAAAAACTACATTTTTCTATGTACTGTAATAATGTTTTTTATATACTGAGGTAAAACAAACAAAACAACATTGAGTTGCTTTTACATATGTCAGATCTGACATTTTCTAGTAAAAATGTGGGAACTGTATTTTTAAAATAAATTTGTGCAACTATTAACTTCTATCTTTTCTTTAGTCAGCATACTGGAAATATAGAAAATACAACTTACGGGTTCTATTATATATCCTTCCTCGGCTAACAGAATGATAGGTAGAACCAACTTGTTGCCACGAATTCCATACTTCTCTGAGAGATCTTCCTTTCGGTAAACTAGAAGACCCTTAATATCTGCCCGCTTCAAATCCTGATACACCTAAAGTTATAAAAACTGTGATGTATGGTAAATCAGAAGTTTCTTACCAAAGAATTAAGAGCATTATTATAAATTATATGTATACTAGCTGTAAAACATAAAAACGAAAATATAAAATTATCAAATCAAAGCTTCAGTACAATACACAACTGAAACAACTTTCAGTAGCTAAACATAATATGAAAATGGACAAATGTCAAGCTTATTACAAGATACTTTTTCTATTTATACCTTCATCATGTACAAGAACATTGTTTAAAAACAGTAGTTTATTACTGATCATTTGTTTCTCAACCACCAGTAGTAAGCTAACTAACTTGTCAGATATCAGTAAAAACTTTACATATTATACAGGTTGTAGAATGTAGCCAACTT